TGTGTGATTTTTTTAAAGGAACCCTAAGGGTTAATGTCAACCTGGTTCAGTCCGGACAAGCTCTCTCTATTTTTTTGAATTGTTTGATATTATGTGGGGTAGGACTGATAATAATAAGGTCCAATCCTTACCATAAATAAAATTATATTGTGTTTGTTGTCATAAAAAACTTTACTGATTCAGTAAAGTAGGGTAACTGGTACAGAACAACAAACAACACATACACATACTTAATAGCCCCTTCTCAAGTGAGCATTTTGTGAAATAAAAAGATAAAAGACATCAGACTATACAAAATAATAAATAAAGCATTCATTTAATACTTCTTAGTTACTGCTGACATCACAAGTTGCCAGTGGGCACACACTCATGAGCGCACCGACTTCAACAAAATATAATTTCCTGTAGAACTGTTGCAATCTTCCTTCCAAAACTTGTCAGTAACCCCCGCTGCTAAGAGGACCTAATGATGCACGCCATCACAGGAAAGGAAATAACATAATAAAACGATGCTACCTGACTAATAAATTACTAATAAATAAATAACAAATTAACTACAACACTGGACTGATCTAACACACAAAAACTGTTGGCAAGGCCTAGTAAAAAGGGACCGAGGCAGCCTTTTCACATGTTTGTTATGTAGCTCCTCTTCATGTAAATTAATAATAACAATAAACATTGTTTTCATCAACCCTTTTAAGAAAAATAAATACATGTTCAATAAATATATAATTGTAATTTAAGCTACATTTCAGTCTGCTGCCCATAGCTTTAATGCACATTTAAAACAAATAAATATCTATATATAACAACAATTAATGTATAAATATATTAAAAGATGCCCAACAGGTCTGTGCTTTCATGGCCATAATGGTGCAGACTACACATATTTTTGTATCCAAAGGTTAAAAAAAATAGTAGTTTGATCACAAACACACCAATCTCAACAACACAGATCCGAAAAGGCACCAGGTGACATTATTACAGTTATATTTCTCAGAATTCTCTTGCATGGTTTCAGTCTGCCTTAGTCTGAAGTACCTTTAGTACTTGTTCCACCCACTCTGTCAGTCTGAATATGACACCCCATCCATATATTTTTCTTTGATAGTCATGAGTGTGGGACATCTGTGGTAGGGTTGGTTTTGTTGGCAAAGACATATTTAGGTACCTTTCGAGTTTTACTGAAAGGTGGGTGAGTCTTTTCTCGACGACTGACAGGGGTTCGCTAACAGATGCTGGTTTGCCCCAAATGTTCTGATATTCTTTTACCTTTAAAATGTGCAAATAAAAAAGCTCTTTGTTGATGTAGATGTCCTGCAACTTCTCAGAGAAGTTGTTACCAGCAACTGTGGAGTTAGGGACATCATCTGGAACTGAATCATTGCCGGTACCATAATATGTATTCTGTAAAAAAGAAATGAATGCCCCATGAGTGTGGAGTGAAAGGGATAATTGTATAGTACAGCATTTTATGAAAACTAGAAAATTAGCCAGGCAATGGTGATACAAATAAAATAAAAGTAATTCAGAAACAACAATATTGGTACAAACATATCAGTTAAACTTGCTGTATTTTAACTCTCTATAAAGTAGTGTTCATTGTAAGTGGTGGAGTCCATCATTCCTGTGCTGGATTCAAATAACCTTCACATACCATATTAGAGCTGTATTGTTAATGCTTGAAAACTGAACATTTCCTTTCTGCTGCGTAGTGTCACATTAACCCCCCCCCCGCCCCGCCAAAAAAAAAAAAGAAAAAAAGAAAAAACAAAACAGTCATTTCTGGTATTGTCTGACACAGCGCGGCTGAGTAACAGAGCAAGAAGGTGTAGCCACAGTGCAGACCTCCAACTCTTCAATGAGGTAACCAACTTATTTTACTGTCGCCTGCTGTAATAAACCGCACAGATTGTGGTTGCAATTATTATCTATCAACTTCTTTGTTAACAATGTGAGTGGTTTGGCTGCACTGTAAACAGATG